TTTTAAATCATTAAAAAAAGATTTGCTCGTGAGCTAGCTCGCGGCTCGTCTGAGCTGACTTGCTTAACTCGCCAACACATTTATGCTCGATCACTTAACTCGTTTACTAAATGAGCCTAAAAACGTAGTTTGCGCTCGTGAAAATCCGAGCTGAGCTGAATCAGCTCATGAGCTAATGACTAGTTTGACACCCCTACTGGTAGCTAATTTTTATACCCCTCTCAACTTCGCCACTTAGTCGTCGTCGTATAACGATGTAAATATAAAGTATAATTAAAACGTAAAGATTCACATTACTAATTTAGTTTTTGGTACAAAATATTTGGATAAATTTCGCCTATATAATCATAATACACTCCTTTATTTTCCATTGACTCATAATGCCAACCAAAGGACACTATGATTTTTAAAAAATTAATAGAGTACTAGAACATGACTTTTTAATAAAAATTTATGTTTGGAGAAGATGTGAGCTGAATAAAGAAAGAAAGACGGGATCGAGGTATACGATAAGGGGGTTTGGTCCTGAAAAAGATTTATAAATAAGTTGATAGTTTCATAGTCATAGTTCACTTGTTATTATCCTCCATTCCTTCTTCACTGTTGTTAAGTGAGTTTTCATTTTTAGCTATCTCTTATCATTTTGTATTAGGCTTGTCACGATCGAGTTATATATCACTTATCAATATCATCAGCACAAAAAGTCTTTATCATCTGAAATTTATAGTAAATTGACAATTCTGTTATGAAGATTATTACTAGTACTTCATCAATTTCTTCCCTGCGATTCTATGAGTAACTTGTAGAATTATTATTGTTATAGAACTTGTACAATTTTCTTTATGTTTTGAGCATTCAATGTATGATGATCGAATTCTCTATAATTTGACTCTTCTTAAATTTCTTGTTGGGGCTTGATATGAAGGGAATAGGTGAAATGGAACACAATCTACTACAATTTTTTCTTCTCTCTTTGTGTCATTCCTGCTGTTTCTCTCTACCTCTTCTGAGCGCAATGACGGAACTTTCAGAGTTGGTCTAAAAAAACTGAAGTTGAATGATAACAACGACCTACGCCTCAATAAGGCTTTGAAAGCATACAATCATGGAGGTCTTAGCAAAGATGTCATTATCACGCTGAAAAATTACGTAAATACTATGTACTATGGTGAAATTGGTATTGGTACTCCGCCTCAAAAAATTCACCGTGCTTTTCGATACCGGTAGTTCTAACCTTTGGCTGCCATCAGCCTATTGCAATTTCTCGGTAAGTAAAGTTTGATTTAACCGCTATTTTGAAAAAGTCACATTCATTGTAAAAACGTTTTTTTGTTTGGATATAATTTCATTCATTACAAAATTTTTTTTTTTTGATTTAACTACTTATGGTCTCTAGTGGTTGTTGAGAACTTGTTATGCTAGTCGATGATCCAAATTTTATGTTATTTGTTAAAAAGGTGTGCATGATATAACTTATTTGCGATTTTGTTTTCGTCATATTAAAATAAACGACCAACATAGGGTCATCAAGTGCATATACTTTAAAGTATTACTCTATATGTATAACACTTGATTACAAAATTATTTAGTTGATCATCGAGATAGTTTAAAGAAAAAAACCTTAATGTGTTACGTCCCTTAATTAATTTTGTCTAGGTTGCATGTCTAGTTCATAAGAGGTACAAGTCAACGCGTTCGAGCACATACGAGAAGAATGGTTTGTTCTCTTTATCTTTTCTTTACATTTGTTTCATGAATGTGTTGATGTGAGCTACGAGGTTGTAATTACCTCGGCCCATCTTCTTCGACACAGGAACTGCCGCCTCAATTAATTACATGACTGGATCAGTCTCTGGTATTTTTAGTAAAGATGATGTCAAGATTGGTGATATGGTCATCAAGGGTCAGGTAAATGATCTTATCCTAAAACACTCTTATCATGCTAGCTTGATCTTGTTCTTTATTCATGTTTGTCTTCCTCGTATTCAGGATTTTATCGAGGCGATAAGGGAGCCTGGTATAACATTTGTGATTGCTAAATTTGATGGTATATTCTTGGTCCTGGATTAAAAGAAATCTCTGTTGGAAATGTTGTTCCTCCTTTGTACGTCTCCACTTTTTTCTTCCTACCGTTTGGATTGAGTTTGTGCATGTCTTTTATATATTGAATTACGTCTCTCTTTTTTTTTTTAAACCAGTTACAAAATGGTGGAACAAGGGATGAAACCGGTATTTTCATTTTGGCTTAACCGTAACCCGGAGGATGAAAATGGTGGTGAAATTGTATTTGGAGGTGTTGATCCAAGCCACTTCAAGGGAACACATATATACTCTCTCGTGAGGGGAGAGGGTTACTGGCAGGTTTATTACATTTTCACATCACTGTTATATCTTGGTTTCTCACGAGTTTTAACATTAACGTTTTTTGCAAATGTATACAATTTTTCGTAATAGTTTCCTATGGGTGATATTCTCCTGAACGGTAAACCCACTGGTAATATATAGACCTCATTCTTTAATATGATGATACGTTTATAACAAATCCGAATAGTCCTAACGTTTAATTTACTGCTCGATAGGATTCTGCAAAAATGGATGTGGTGCGATGGCGGATTCTGGGACAACTTCGATTGCGGGTCCAGCGGTAAACAAGAATTAGGAGGCTTTTAATTATATTGTACTAATGAATTATTTTGTATTAAAGAGTATTTTTGTAGTAATTAATGTACACTCCTAATTTTTTCTCTTTTTTTTTTGAAGAGTGATATTGCGGTGATAAACCATTATATTGGAGCAACTGGAATTGTTAACCTCCAATGCAAGACTATTGTGAAGCAATATGGAAAGGCCATTTTGGATTTACTTGTAGCTGGGGTAAGTTTATATATATGCTCAATTATTGTACTAGCTTATATAAAATATCGGTCCTTTGCAAACTCTTTGTTAGGTAATTGAGTTTTTTTTTTTTGTTTCACTTACTAGTGTTGTTATAATTGCTTACTGTAGACTCCACCAAAGCAAATTTGCGCATCGCTAGGTTTATGCAGTTTTGGTGTCAGGTATATTTCCAATGGTCTCATTCATACTATATACTATATAGAGATCGACTGCAATTAGAGTCATGATTTTTCTTGTTAATCAATTTTTGTTGGTTAGTATGGGAATTGAATCGGTAGTGAAAATGGAAAACGGAACATTGTCAAGTGGTTTGGGAGATGCACAATGTACTGCATGTGAGATGACACTTGCTTGGATACAGTATCAGTTGAAACAAGGCATGAATGAAGAACAAATATTGAACTTCGTCAATACGGTACACAAATTTTTTCTTTGTTGGATATATATAA